TGCAAACATCTGAGAAAAAGAACACGACCACATCTGAATTCTCAAAATCTCAAAATCTTTAGTTTTACTGGAAATATAGTTGATTGACAAATACATTTATACATTTCTGGACATCTCTGCCCATTTCCTATGAGTAAGAAACAGTTTTGTTCTTAATTTACAATTTAAAAAAAAAAAAGAAGTCAGTTAACATATTGAGGCATTTCTTCAAGGTACCTTCATTTACTGCAGTGGTGCTTTACAAAATTATAATTCAAAATAGAATGAATGTTAGAAAAGTCTAGAGCGAAGAACTGAGAAATCGTGAGAACTGATAAACAAAGAAAACCAAAATGCTTTGCAATTGTACAGCAGTAGCTCTTAAAAAGTTTCTCTCACATTTTGTTTTTATTTTATTTTTTATTTTTTACTTTGGACAAATTACCAGCTTCTCTCCATAAATCATAAAACAATAGCGGCTGAGAAATTAAAGATAATTGTTTTCAAATGTCATTATTCTACTTTTCATTGAGGATTTAACATGAAAGTGCAGATTTTTTAATTGTGTGACTGTTTCCTTGCTGTGAAAGCTGGTGAGTACCTCAGGGTGTCTCTAAAGTGCATACGCATAGAAAAATAAGGGTGTCAGAGTCATCACAAACTATTAGCGTCAGCTAACAGCGTCACTGTTTTGTGGACATCAGTTAAGTTACTTAAGGGTCAGACTGACTGACTATAGACAGAAGGAATTTGGGACTATTTGCTTTATTTAAAAGAAAAATCTAAAAAGACACACGGAGCCACTGCAGAAGTCTCATTTAATGAGCTGCTGTTATTGCTCTTGATCTCCTAGTTTGGCACATACAGCCACAATAAATAAAAAGAAAAAGCCAACGAGCATGTCATTAAAATCAATCCTTTGCACCAGACACCTTGACATTTTTCCAGACTTGTGCGTCTTGAGCCATTCCTAGGCAGGTTTTACAGTGTGATAGGATGCTTTGTCTTTCTTAGGGAGGCTATGCGGTGGCCTGGAGGCTTCACCCCAGCACCAACATTCTGGTCGAGGATACATCAGTATGCCTTTGGAGTGCCTGTGTGAGTGCTGCAAAAGCTCAGAGCAGTTCTAACAGCAGCTTCACCACATAAATGAGGAACTTATAATGAATTATAGTATGGTTATAATTTGATTCTTCAAAACTATTGAATAACATTTGCTAATATCAACAGTTATGTTCAATTTGGCTTGTTCAAATTATTCCAGTCTGGAGTGGAGTGTATTGTCTCACTCTTGCTAACTGCTTGGCTATCAGGATGCCTGCTATACAAGTAAAAATATAAATAGTGGGATTTGAATGGCTGCCTTTGGGGACTGTGTAGGGTGTGCATGAAGACTCCTGCTTGATACTGATACATTTTGGTAAAACAGAAGAACATCTGTTCTTGTGATTGTTCTTATTTTTTAACGGTTCCATATGCCAAGAATAGAGAACAAAGTATGTGGCCTTATTGTTTTCCTGTTTGCGCACAATGCTCAGTTACATGCTCCACACTCATTCAAAATGCATCTAAAAAGTCAGACTTCTACAGTGGCTGTTATTAGACGTTCAGTCTGAGGTGCTCCAGTGAAAATGAGCTGGCTGTTAGCCAAAATGCTTTTCAAAAAAACCAAACAAAAAAACGCAACTGAAACCAATAAAAATGCTGTTTAAACAACAAATCATGCAAAAAGACAAGTATGGATTTCTTTCCCTTTTTTCAAAGCAAGTGCAGAAGAGAACATCTGTGAGAACCGTCTGAACTCAATGAGCTCATGTACTATTTGTTCATCACTGAAACCTGCCGGAGCTCTTTAATGAGCTAAATAACAGTGTCCACTTAGTCAGACTGAACCCGGACTCTGGTGCATGCTATGATGTGCTTTGTTTACATGTCAGCTCTTTGTAAGTCATACGATTCTTCCTCTATTTAGCTGGTCCCTTTCAATACTCTTCTTTATCTTCCATGCAGTGTGCTTGTGAAGCCATTCACGCACGCACGCACGCACGCACGCACGCACGCACACACACGCACACACACACACTGTTTTTCCTTTAATTTAGTGGCAGAATTCACCATTGCACACATTTTCTTTAAAAAAAAACAAACAAAAAAATAATACTCCTAAACTTGCATTTGTGTTATTCTAATGTTTCAGACACCTGCAATTAGAAGTTTTGCATCTGTACTCTCATCCTTCATATTTTGCACTGTGCACACTCAGTCATGTTCAGGCAACTTTTAAACATGCCTATTCTGAGATGGGAGCGACACAGTGGTACAGTGGTTAACACATCACCTCACATCCTTGCTTCTCTTTTTGTGTTGAGTTTGCATGTTCTTTGGGTTCCTCAGCATCTTCCAGTTCTTTCCCACAGTCCAAAGACATTCTTGTTAGGTTAGCTCATGACTATACTGGTTTTAGATGTGAGTGTGTGGTTCACTGTCTCTGTGTTAGCCTTGTGATGGAGTAATAACTTGTTCAGAGTGGCAGGTTTTACTCTGTTTTGTGATACAGCACTTTGTGACTGCTTCTTTGTGAAAAGCTCTCTGTAATAAACTTTACTTATTATTGCTTATCCTGCCTTTTGCCCTATGTTGGGATTGGCTCCAGTCACACCTTTGGTAAAAGGTTAATAAAATAGTAGGTAGCTGGACTGTTTAAGTAATTTAGGACATAGCTTTTGTTTTAATGTGTGCAAACCTTCATAATCCTGGTTTTACTTTGTGACACTGAAGTGGATCTCAGCAGCTATGTTTGGCTATGAAAAATGTGGCTTCAATTTCTGTAAGACACATTTCACTATTTCAATAATTTTTGATTCAGTGTAAATTGAATTCTCCTACTAGTGAGTAAAATAATATGCCTGAGTTATCCAAACTGATTCAGATTCTGTCATTATGGCCTCGTCAATCTTGCTTCAGAAATTAACCCCAAATCATTGGTCTTCAAACAGCTGTTTGTTTGTCCCTGCAGGTGTGTATGCGCATGTGTGTTTGCAGCTGGCCAGTTAGAGTCTCGTGTCATGGACTTCATCTTCTGCTTCCTCTGGCAGTGAGGAGATCTTGGCGGTCTGTGGCGTCGGCCTCTTGTTGGAGTTAAGGCGGTGAAGCGTTGGGAAGAGGCGGAGCCGATCGGCTGTGCTCATGGCCTGTTTGAGGTGACTCTTCTCATTCATGAGCTTCTGAATGGAGTCGTATGTTTTCATGGAGCTGCCTTCAATCATCTGAACAGGAGGGAGAGAGGAAGGAGAGGCAGCTTCATTTTGTTGTTCATCAAAATGTTCTTTTTTTCTGTAAAATATGCCAACTCACCAGAAATGTAAAAAGAAATTGCCGCATTTATATATATTTGTTTATTTTGAAAACTCACGTATGGAAAAAGTAGTTTATGTGCAGGGTTATTATTCTGCAGATAATAATTCTTGTCCCCTGTAAGGAAGTTTTGACCTTCCCATTAAGGCAACACTATTTGTTAGCATTGCAAACAACCCAGCACTTTCAAGACCCACAGCATGAGGGAGTGTTGATAGATGACCATCTTACAGTGCAGAGCAACTCAGAAATAAACTTAGACCAGAACTTACCAGGAATGACTGACAGTCCGTCAGTGGATCCACCCTGTGTTCTGACATG